TTTGGCACACCTTTTTGGATGTTCTTACCCTTTCTTCTGGGTGTTCATTGAAAATGTATGCTTAAAAAGCGAAACTATAAAAACTTTTTTGGGTGTTCGTTAGGCGTTGCTATACTCAGCTCGACGAACTCTATCGATTGGCTAACTCAGATTTTAATTTTGGGGGTGTTCGTGGCTGTTCACGTCTTTTAGCAGTACCCTTTTTCTATTAACAAACGAAAACTTTTTCGTTTTCTTCACAACAAAAAAGAGTAAAGATATAATGCATATCTTTTCTTTCCTAAGAAAAAGGAAAGCGGCACCTTTTCTTTTCCAAAAGAAAGAAAAGCAATGTCTTTTCGTTTTGCAAGAAGAAGACTTTCTTAAAACGGGCAAAAAGAAGTCTTTTTCTTGCAAAAAGAAAAGACATTGCTTTTCTTTCTTTTGGAAAAGAAAAGGTGCCGCTTTCCTTTTTCTCAGGAAAGAGAAGATATGCACTATATCTTTACTCTTTACTTTTGAAATAAAAGATACCACTTTATCGTTACTTAGGAAAGGAACGGGAATGTGCCCCTCCTGTTACTGATACTTTTGAAGAAAAACATTAAAAACGATTTATCTCGAGAAAGAAACGTATTTGAGTAAATCGACTGGCTTCTAAGGATTTTCAATTGTATGCAAAGAAGAAAGAACCGAGTGAAAACCTATACTACTAGGCGAAATAGCCCATTTTTGTTTATTTTCATCAAAAACTACAATTCATCCAGCCTATTTCGGAATGTCTATTGTATCTGCAGCTCAATAAATGCTGAAAAAATCAACAGAAAATATTTTGTTTTGAAAAAAGGTTTCCCGGAAACGTTCGGAACTTAGAGAATGTTTCTTGTTGATTTTCAGCACATAATTAGAATGAGTGTATAAGATAGAATATTTCGTGACATTCTGAAGCAGATTGGATGGATTTTGACTGAGTTGTGAATTTTTTAATTTTTCACAAAATAATCAAACATGAATTATTTCACCTAGTATAGGTTTTCACTTGATTCTTGCATTTTGTTCTGAAAACTAACATTGTCATGAGATTTAGCATAGTCGATCACCTTTGTTCACCCATTTCTCACAGTCACAAATCTAACGGCAGAGGAGTGTTAAGGCTTCGGAAAAAACGTCCATAACTCTCGAACCATGGGTTTTCAAGAAGTTTCTTGGATACAGTTTTGTAGAGGACACTTCAGACTATATATGTCCTCCAAAAAATCAATAGATCCCTGTTTGAATTTTGGAAAATCCCAGCTAGTTTTCCAAAGATTCTCTGGAAAGCCGCCGCGAAAACTTTTCCGAAAATCAGTTTGCTGGCGGAACGGTAGGCTCAAGTCTTGACTGCCGAATGATGTCTAAATTACATGTATTAACTATTGTATATGATCGATGTTGGAAAATGTAATTTTCTGGGCCCCCGACGGGCCAGTTCAAGCTTGTGTTATCAATATATGATGTCTTTATACGGAATTTTACTTTTCGAGGTTTAGGATTTTTATCACTAATATCGTCACCCGAAAAATCGGGTGGATCGATAACATCGCGAGACGGAATGATTAACGGCAGGTTCGTGGGTTTAACAGAAGAAAGCATATCCAATTCTGGATATAATTCAGTTGACGACGGTAGTAACTGATAATATAAATACATTTGTAGCCTTTGACAAGCTCTATTCAATCTGCAATATTTAAAATTTTCATCATTACGATTGGTTGTGGGAGAATGTCTTTTCTTTTATCGATAGGAAAAATCGCCGACCTTAGGGCTCAGTTTTGGGGGCACATGGAAAAGCTTTTGTAAATCGATTAAAATCGAACATTTTAGAGCCGGGATTGTCTCACATTAAAGTAAAATGATTCTTCTGTTGCATCCGAACAGAAAAGTCCAATAGCTGCATTCCTTCTGCTGAGCCAGAGCGAACTAGTGAAAACTTTTCTCTTTTCGGTGAATTTAGTAAAATCGCCATTCGTACTAGAAAAACGCTTTTAAAATCAGCCTATGATAGATGAGAAGAAAGGCGACACTTCTGAACATCAGAGGCTTCATTTTCATTTTGTATTTTATGCATAGCACTGTCTTCAAAATAAATATTTTCACGTTCGATCTTGTGTTGGAAAGTAATGAAAATTGAAACACAGCAGTGTTTAATTCATATTCTTTTATTTACACGATGTATAAAATATGTTTAATATAGTTCCGTTGAGAGTTGAACAGGGAATCTTTTTAAAAGAAGTTTGAGTCTTGGCAATGAACATTGACAGAGATATTGGCGAAATGCTGATACCGCCATTTTCCCTAGACCACCCAGTATAGGACTCGCAATTGCAGAGTATTAAAGATTGACACATCTAGGGATCGAAATGTATCAAGAAGTTTGAAATAGTCTAAGATTCTTTCAATTTCCCCTGTCATACCGAGATTCAGACTTGGACTTGAGTCCGAACTTGAAGCTTTTTCTAACGAACTTGGATTTGAGGGTTTTTTGAAAACTCTGTTTGACGTTCAAGAAGTCTATCACATCAAAAGTTCACACTCAAGAATGAAATGAGCATAATCTGATATCTAATCTATTAATCTTTTTTGTCAAACATGCACGAATGTATATGGCCGACAATTCCGAAATCGAACAGCATATTATTTTCGATCTTTTATATTCGGATGCAACGCACCGAGTTATATCGAAAAAGTAAATTACACGATTAAAATACATTTTTCGATTAGAAAACTGTGAAATACTAATTTTTCGAAGAATGGGTCAAAGTAAGCAAAATTTTTCATAACTCAAAATTTGACCTTATTTGCCTTCTTTTTGAAATTTTAGCAACTATTTTTCTCTCATTTTGTATCCAAATTGGACCCTGGAAAAGTTTTTTCTGAGTTTCGAGAACTTTCGATGAGTTCGGAATTCATGGGACACTACCAGAATGGTAAAAGTTCTACCGACCACTCAAGAGAGCCTATCTAGTTCCAGGATTTTCGAGATATAAAATTTGGTTTGGGACACTCTAGAGCATGTATTTGTAAGAAAAGAACATGCATCGGTTTTAGAATATTTTACTTCACTGACGAGAAATTAAACTTTGAAAAAGCCGTAGCAAAAACTATAAAAATGGGCCTATATTTTCCCATTTTCTAGATCAAATCCCAACTTTTGACAGAAAGCAAGGTTACTCACGAATGCTTATTGTATATCTATGGTGGATACCGCTCCTGCTGCGGTCGATACCCTCGTTGTTGTTGATGTTGTTCCTGTTATTGTCGTCGTCGTTAGTTGAACCTTTGTGTCATGTATTCGCCGTTGTTTGCGATTCATTGTGTGGAAGTACCGTAGTTTGCCGTGTCCCCGGAGAAATCTGACTACACTCGGAACAGAAATATTTAAAACTGTGGTTAAATCTCCGATAATTCCTAATTCACAATGTTTAGCGTTTTTTCTTATTTTGTTAGACGGAAATTTCCTTGATCCACATTTTACTACAGAATTAAACTCAGTCTTTAATGGTAAATGCGTCACGAACGATTTTACTTTATCGTCTAATCAGGACATTATTGAATTTATGGATAAATCTATGATATTTCTGAAAAAAAGAAACTGATTATTAAGATAATTATAATCTTCATATTAACAGACTGCTTATAATTTGTAAATACGCTTCTAAAGATTTTTGATACAAGACTTCTTCGTCCTTACTATCTTCTCTTTATTTACTTACATGACCATATGCAGAATAAAGAAGCCGCCCAATATATGTCGCTTACTTTCTTTTTTATTACTTTATTTTTTAAAAAAGTATGGGAGGGTACCGCCATTGCAAAGACCGGAGAGAAAAACGTAAGAAGGTTTTAGTAAATGAGATTTTCGAAGTTTGCACAGGTTTTAACAATATATTTTCTTGGTAGAGATGATAATAGCAGCTACTTTGAAATTCGTTATTCAGTTGGTGGTGATAATTCGACGTTTCGACAGACAAAATTTTCATTTTCAAGACAAATATAGTTAACTTTAAACGGACTATAACGTAATCATAGAAATGTACAAAAAGGTTCAACGTAGGTTACAGCTTAATAAATAATCATCCCGAACATTAATAAAGCAGAAGAAGCAAGACAAGGAAGCACTAAGAAATTCAACAAAGCGCAAATGCGAAAACGGATAATTAGTTTAAGCTCTATGTGAATGAAAGAAAACCAATTCATAGAAAAAGAAGACATAGCTAAAAGTACATGAATGAAGCACAAACTCAGGAATTCCCCTCCTAATCTTCATCATATGTGGACGTGTTTAATTTGTTCTGTTGGCTATAATTCTGCAAGCTTTTGTATCACAAGTAATGAGCTCATGTAATCAAAACCGCCGTAGAAACATTGCACCTAAGAAACAAAATTCATCATCTCACTCATCTGAAAAACAGTCTAAGTAGAGTAAAATGAGGCAATTAAAAATGATTTTTTGCTGTTTGGACTTCTAATTAGTCTAAATCTGTTAATTATCCATCTTTTTGTGTTTCTTCTACAGGTAGGTAGAGGAAAAAGTTCACTATAAGCCTCTCTAAAAATTTTCAAAAACTGCCTATCCCAAGCGAACTTTCCAGTGTTTTGCTAAAACCTTCAACGAATATTTCCAGGTACCCCATTTGAGACAGTTGGAAACAACAATAGAAATTGATGGGATAATTAAATACGCCATGTATTTTACACGAGATAATATTGTTTTGAATTTTTTCTCAATGAAGTTTTTGAGCGAGAAAATTCTGTTTGATGCATATTTGATTGTTCAGACTTCACATGAGATAAATTTAGTACTCGAACGAAAGTTTCAACGCGTTTGATAAAACATAATAAATGAGTTCGAACCTTCTCTGTATCGTCCACAGAGTGTGTTGAAGCCCGTTCAGACTTTAGTCGGTTCAACCTGTTATTTCATAAATTTTCCTTCGAACGCATTGGAACTACGGTTGGAATAACAAAATTATCTCATGGGTTTGCTCTTTCAAACAAAAAAAGAGCGAAAATCTTTCGAATAGTGGAAACATGAAGAAACAGCGCTCGACATTTTTTCGCGATATTTATACATGGTTGGACAGAGCAAAGCCAGTCGTAAGGCAGAAAATTGAAAAATATTAAAATTTTAAAGTTTATTAAGAAATGACTAAATTTTCAATAAAATCAGAACTCTTAGCATTTTTAGATTTCAAAATGACTAATTGGAATCGTGAACGGGAGCGGAATCTGAAATCTTTCCTTAGATCATTTTGTAAACTTGTACAGTTTTTGGTTAAGAGATGACGGCATTTTTTTACCTCGTTCCGACCGTCACATCAGCAGGAAAAAAGTCAAGTATCGGTTTTCCTTAATGTCGTAACAGTATAGGGAAAATCCATTTTCTTTCGATTAAGCCATTTTCCCTCAAAAAATTGGTCAAGTCCTTTTTAAACAAAACAGACAGCATTCACTCAAACTCAATGAGAAATCATATGCATTTGTAACATCGCTAACAAACAATGAACACAAAACATCGCTAAATCCAATGAACACACTTATGAGATGTTAGCAGGATTTATACGGGCTTCATGGTATAACAGTTTTCCAGGAAATTTTTGGAAATTTTTTAATTCAGAACTCTTTAAAAACTATCTGGATCAATAGAAAGATAAATTTCCTATACAATGAGACTATTCTGCGGTCTCTTCGATCTTCTGAGCGTACGGGAAGCTCCCGGTAAACCAAATGCAGTATTCGACAACGAAGATCTCAATGAAGAATAGGTGGGGAGATTATCGTAAAGAAAAAATCCTTGATGTTTACCTTCAAACGTTGAAGGTTTTTCTGTTGCTGATTTAGGTTGAAAAGATTAAAAAATAGCAGGTTTTCTGTTTTTCTCCCTCTTTCAATTCATATACAATTCAAAATTTTAAACAAGAGATTAGAACGAAAAGAAATTAAGATATGAAACGACATGTAAACGATTTGCTGTAATTTTTTATTTGGTATCATTTGTACTGCATTCAATGTGTCACATATTAACTGAAATAATGTACGTAATCATTATTGTTAAAATTTTAATAAAAATATCATCATTAAACTCCGAACTTCTAAATGTCGGACTGTCGGAATTTAAATTTTTTCAAATTTTAGAACTTCTAAATTTTTAAATATATAAATCTCTAAACTACCGAATTCCTGGACTTCTCAAATTCTAAACTTCTAAAGGTCTGAATTTCTAAATTTCTAAATTATTAAATGTATTAACTTCTCAATCTCTAAATTTCTAAATGTGGAACGTTTTAATTTCTCAATTACTAAATGTATAAAGTTCTAACTTTCTGAACTTCTAAATTTCCAACTGTTTAAACTTCTAAATGCCTATACGTCGAAACGTCTGATTGTCTCAATTTCAAACTCTTTCAAACTTCTTGTCTAAATTTCGAAAGGTCTAAACTTCTAAATGTCGGAATGTCTAAGTGTATCTATCTAAACTTCTAAACTTGTAAACGGTCGAATGTCTGGATTTCTAGTTGTCTAAATTAGTAAGTGTATAAACTTCTAAATGTTCAAATTTCTAAATGTCTTAAAGCTGTAAATGCGCACCCTTGTAAATATCTAGACTTCTAAACGTCGGAATTTCTAAATTTCCAAATTTCTAAACGTGT